GTACAGTTTTTCTTCTATGATTTCGGTAGCACGGATATATGATTGAAAGATGTTACTTGGAAATAGGAAGTTGTATTAATTCATTTTCAATAAAAGCGAAAATTTTATTATGGAAATAAACAGTTGAAAATTTCATTTAAATGGCAAAACTTACGTTTTATTGCTTTGAATATTGTCGGGTTTTGTTCTGAGGCAATGGGCCCTGATATATGTACATACAGTAGAACCTTGATCAACCGGACTAATTATTGTCGATAGGCATCCGGATAATCGAATGTATAAAGAATAATGTTGTGTATTTATTAAAAATAACAAATACATACATATATATCAACGAAAATAATGTTTATTAAGAAATTGAAACTTCTTTATGTATGTACATACATATACTAAACTACAGCATTTATCATGAAAAAATTCGAATTGTAGGTATGTAAATACATATAAATTAGTCGTGGTTGGTCCGGATAATCGAGGTTCTACTGCACTTATATCATTATCTTCATGTTGATTTCAAGTATGAATTCTTGTGTTTGCATTTTTGTTATTTACTCCAGTCAATGGAACGTTTTCGGTCTGACTTTTTTTTACTGTGCTCCGATTTGAATGAAATTTTGGAATTAGGTTCATCTTACCATCAAAATCAAAAGTGAAAACAATTTGGACTCGGCCACCACCCCCCGCGAGGATGACACTCAGTTGTGTGAATTTTATTTTTTCAAAATAACGTTGGATATCGATAGAAAAACTAATCTTATATATAAAAATGGAGCTCTCGATCAAATGATTCGGTGAAACTTGAAAACGGCTAAATCGATTTGGCCAGTCTTAGTCTTAAAAATTTGTGCTAATCAGTAGGTTGTCGGAAAGGTGAGATATTATTTCAAAATCGCATAGAAACTTTACATATTTAATTTGAATTTTTTTTTAAAAGCATAATTTAAATAAAACAATGGACGGTGGCTAATACGTCAAATGTCAAACGTTTTTGACAGATGATGTTCAATTACGTTTAATAGGATGTTTTACAATAATATTATTTAATTATGATTAAAATGTAGTAAGTAGTTTTGTTTGTAGTTATATTTATACACAAAAACGTTATTAAACGGGCCGCAAGTGTTACTAGAAACTCAAAATATCAACTTTTCTGAAATGTTAATATAAAAATGCATTTTTTGGCGTTGTAGAACTCTTTTTTTTGCAAATCTTTTTTTTATTCAAACACGTGCTCTGACTCATTGGTATTTATAAAACATTTTCATGGTTATATTTTTTCTAATTATTTTATTTAAATTCAGAACCTAAATTTGGTATCGATCAAATGGATATTCTTTTCCTAGAATTTATCAAAGAATAGATAGTAACATATGAAGGTCCGGGGTTAAAAAGGTACACACCGATGTGTTAAAAACCAGTAAAGTTAAGCATTGATTAACAACAATATTTGAAAGTAGAGGGAAAAATATGTATGACTAGCTAAACCTTGATTCTTATGACTTTGCTATCGGGAGATAAGCGGTAACCTTTGAAAATCAGTAATAAAAGTATTTTCTTCCGTTGGTAGTTTTTTAGCATTAGTATATTATAAATGTAATTATTTTATAAAATATGACATCAAAAAAGCACATTTCTACAATGATGTAGTAGCTGGCAGTTTCATTTGAAATTTGTGATATAATAGGTTTGGTGTTCATAATATAATTTAGAATTGCTGAAAGTCAAATTGGACCTCTGTGCCTCGCCCCAGCTCTACAAACATACTTTTTATTAAATTTACTTTAATTCATAGAATGTTAGTTGAAACTTTTCAAAAGCAGGTCAAAGAAGAAATACTTAAATCATTTTCTATCTCTGTTCGTAGAAATTTGAAAATTTTGTATAAACTCAGTAGTATTATTAATTAGTATAAGTAATTACTTATACAATTATACACAAAATCCTGAATGCGAAAAGAATCTGAAAAACTTGAAACGTAATCAATAAGTCGAAAGACCAAAAAAAACTTGGATTGGATTATACCATATCTTTCGAACTGTTTTTGATTTTTTAAAATCGATTCGGTAGTTCGAGCTTAAATGCGTGGACGAAAAGTTTAACACTTTTTTTCAAATTACAAAAAAACGGCTCAGCAGATCGTCTCACAAAAACTGACAGGCGATAGTCCTAATTGAGATACATCAAATGACTTTTAAATTTCTGAAATCGGTTTAGGCGTTTTTGAGAAAAATTCGATCAAAGGTCTAATTTTGGCAAATGCCAAAAAACGATACTAATTTTTGCAAACTTTGAAGAATATTTAAAATTACGAGGGCCGTCTACAAGACTATGGTGTCTACCGTCAAAAAAATCATAAAAATCGATTTTTTTTCAAAAAACTTGGACGAAAATTTTTCACTTTTCTGCGATTTACAAAGAAACGCTCTGGACGATCGTTGCACAACGCTAGTCCTCATCGAGATACATCGAATGGCTTTTAAAAAACAGCAAAAAATTGTTCACAAACACACATACACATACATACTTTTTCCAAATTTGGTCTCATTCAAATTCAGAATGACGAAACGTCGAGAAACATAAAATCAGCGAGTCGGATTTTTTTATGAAAACATAAACTTCTTTTTCGGGAAGTTTAAAATATTCGATTCCTATGAATTCATTATTGAATATTAATATTCAAGATGTGCTGATTAGAGTAGGCCCAACCGTTTCGGAGAAACGAAGCAAAGAGTGCAGATAATAGAAATCGGGTTTTTGATAAAATCAACTCTTCTTTTATTTATGGATAGATGGAGTATCCGATTTGAATGATCTAAAAAATATTCAATTTGTAATGATTGGGAGAAGAGGCGATTAGTTTTTGGCAAAGGCATGCCCAGCCATTTCGAAGATACAGAGCTAAATGTGCAAAAAATGGCAGTTTTCGAGAAAACTGAGCGTCCGATTTGAATGATTCAAAGAACTTTCTGCTTGTTTTAACAAAATAATTGCTTTTGGTCAAAAAAAATTGTTTCATTTTTTTGTATGTCGAAAATAATTAAGATTTTAATTTTAGTTCTGACTAAAGTTCTAATATACTTTAAACAAATAATTTCAACTTTGCAATTCAGTTTATATAATTCTTATAAATATTAGATAATGTTACAATATTTATAATAATCTATTTGAAAACATTTAATATTTCTCGAACATTTCGTTACGGTACGGGAAGTTCCAGCAATTTATCTTAAGGCACGATGCTATACACCACTAGTTTATAATAATTTTATCTAGTATATTTTTGTTATTATTGTATTATTACAAAATATAATACGAATGTAATATTAAATTTAGTTTCAAACACTTGGTTACTGAAGTTTTATTATATTTTAGATAATTTTATTTTATTATTTTATATTGAAATTTATTCATTTCAAATTTTGCGCCATTAATTTGAATGCCAAAAGCAGCGCCTTCACGTCTGAGCGGTGGACCCTTTAACTATCCATTCTAGGGTTTTTCTCATAGTTGTTTAACCTGATTTCTAATTATTGAAATAGAAATGTCAAAGTCACAAGTGTTTTTTTGTATTTGTTGAATAATAAATAATATATATATATATATATATATATATATATATATATAAAATATATATAAATACTCTCAAAAAATTTTTCCAAGTATTTTGTAACAAAAAAAAAATTAATAATATGGATATATAAATCAATATTACAGGTAAATAATTTTTGAAACTCAATTTTATATTTTATTTTCCTATAATTTTTATATTTTTTTATACCTTTCTTTACTTTTATTTGGTACATAATCCATTCCTTTATATTAAAAAAACCTTTTTACTTAATATTCTGTTTTCTTCGTCATTAATAGAGTTAGTCTATATAAAAAATGTTTTTGACAGAAGAAACCTGATGATGGAAAAAAAATCCATGACTTGACTATTAAATATATATATATTTATTTATATTGGAGATGGGTAACTTACTCCGGAGTTATCACTTCGATACAACTCCTGCCTCAGAGTGAATTTGAGTGGAGTTGTCTCACTGGATTTGTCATATTCGACTTCCCTAAACTGATACTAAATCTGTTAACATGTGCAGATAATTGCTTGAGATTTTTTACTATTACAAAAGATTTGGGTCGAAAGAAGTGTTTTTTTTCTCGTCTCACAGCTAGTTTTAGGACTTTCCAGGTATATAATGTCTCAAAATGATGCTATTATGTATTGCATATTCTGTATAAGATAATGTTTCTCCATAAATGAGCTCTTTCAAAAGCTAAAAAATATTTAGTATTATATTATAACTTTTACACAATTATGATTTTATAATTGTGTAAAAGTAATAGTATGCTAATCAAAGTACCTGATGTAATGATTCTCGAAAAGGAAATAATAAAAGAATGTGGTGTATTATTATTTGTGAAAAATATTGATTTGAAAGATTTGTTCTTATTTCATATATTCGGTTTGCTGCATTATTTTTATATAAAAATAAGCGTATTCAAAGAATTCTATATTTTCTCTTCAAAAATAATTACAAAATTGATTTTAAGTTCCAAGTTTTTTGTCAATTTGTGATTCGCATGCATATTGAAATGCATAAAATAATAATTATTATAATTAAATGAACAGAAATATTTGAACTATTTGAAATATATTTCCAAAGTCTTAATAAATCCTGAGATATGTTGACAACACGCTAGAAAACTCATTTGTGTCAAGTATATTTCAAAGTTGTCGGAGTTGTGGAGTCGTTAAGTGGATATAACTCCTCTCTGAAGCGGAGTCAAATCCCAACCGATCTGGCTTTGTACATACTATATATAAGTACTATATACATGCTTGTACTATATACATATATAAGTATTGAAACATATGTAATATACATTCGAAACCATCTTATAATTATATATAGTAACTTATATTATAATTTTGTAAGCTTTTACTACTTTTTAGAAACCCTTGCTAATTTGTTTACAAGGACCTACAAAAGTCAAAAATGTCTGAAGAAACAAATTCAAACACAACAATTAAAGATGAACCAATTGAATATCCTCAGGTGAAAAAAGAATTTGATTATTGTCTTCAAGAGAAACATGAATTTGTTTCTAATACTATTCTTCTATATTATCTTATTTTGATTTTTTTTTAAATATTTTAATCGTATTAACATGAATTGGAGCTTGACCAGTTGAAGATCCTTATATTTTTACAGGACAAATTCTTACAATTTTATATTTTTTTTATTACTTATTTAACCCATATATTTATTATAAATAAGATAATTTATTATTATAATCAATGAGCTTGAAATTAAGCATATATTTTGAAAATATAAGACAGAATTAAATTTTATTAACTTAATTATTAAAATAATATTATATAAATAATGATTTAAAAGATAAAATAATCAAAATATAATTTAAAGTAATAGTTAAAAATCTTTTTCAAGCTAAATACATTAACTTATCATCAAGTGAAACAAGAATTTGATGAATATCCTCAAGTGAAACAAGAATTTGATGATTATCCTCAAGAGAAACAAGATTTTGATGATTGTTCTCGAAAGAAACATAAATTTGCTGATCATCCACTAGATAAACAAGATTTTGATGAAATTCCTCAAGAGAAACATAAATTTGCTGATCATCCACAAGTAAAACAAGAATTTGATGATTATCCTCAAGAGAAACAAGATTTTTACGATTGTTCTCAAGAGAAACAAGATTTTGATGGTTATCCTCAAGCTATACAAGAATTTGATGGTTGTTCTCAAGAGAAACAAAAATTTGATGATTATCCACAAGTGAAACAAGAATTTGATGATTATCCTCAAGCGATACAAGATTTTGATGATTGTTCTCAAGAGAAACATAAATTTGCTGATCATCCACAAGTGAAACAAGAATTTGAAGATTATCCTCAAGAGAAACAAGAGTTTGATGATTATCCTCAAAAGAAACAAGGTTTTGATTATGAATACATGAAACAAGAATTAGATGATTATGAAATATCAGAAATATGTCCAGACAATGACAAATTATGTGTTTTAAAGTCTGATGTAAGGATAGATGATGAAAACAAGCAAAAAGTAATTGACGAGCAAGTTGCATCAACTAATTCTAGCATTTATAATAAGATATAAGTAAGTCAAGTAATTTAATGAACAGAATCACCAAAAAACAAAACACTGCCCTTATCTCGAGATCCTATGAATGTGATATATGCAATAGAACATTTACAAGAAAAGACACATTAAAAGTACATAAAGGGATCCACACTGGGCAACACCTTCATAAATGTGCTACGTGTAATAGAGCTTTCATAACAAAACAACTATTAAATCGGCATGAAAGGATCCACACCGGAGAACGTGCTCATAAGTGTGAAATATGCAATAAAGCTTTCATAACAAAATTGGAACTAAAACGACATGAATTTATCCACACCAGAGAAAGTGATCATAAATGTGCAACATGCAATAAATCATTTGCAACAAAACAAATATTAAATCTTCATGAAATGATTCACACTGGAGAGCGCCCTTATAAATGCGAAATATGCCAAAAAGCATTTAAAACAAAATATGAATTAAAACAACATGGAAAGATGCATACCAATGAAAGCAAATATAAATGTACCATATGCATTAAAACATTTTCAACAAAACAATTAATGATCCGTCACGAAATGATTCATACAGGAGAGTCTCCTTACAAATGTGAGACGTGCGAAAAAGCTTTTAAAACTAAACATGAGTTAAAACATCACGAAATCATCCATACCAACGAAAGCAATTTTAAATGTGCAACATGCAATAAAGCTTTTCCAACAACAAGAGCATTAACTCGGCATATAAATGTTCACATTCGAGCAAACCTTTATAGGTGTAAGACTTGCAATAGAAATTTTGCCACAAACGAAACTTTGATTCGGCACAAACTTACTCATATCAAGGAAAAATCTCATATTTGTGAAATATGCAATAAAACATTTGGTAGACGATATTCATTAAATTTACATAAAAGAAAACAACATTAATGTGAGAGTCAACCCAGTAAGTTTTTTGATTGGATAATCATATTGCAAAACAGCCACTGGTAAGAATTAAATTAATTTATGGTAAAATTTAAATTAATTATGTCGCCATCTATTGTTGTGTTTTTGTAAATCACCAAAATTTGGTAGGTGCCATGGGGGGTAAAAATAGAACAAATACGATTTACTCTGTATCATCTTCAGCATATAACAGATGGCGCTAGTGTGATTCAAATTCAGCAATTGATTTGAAACACAGCCTTTCTAGATATAGTACAAGTGCTTTAAAGGTTTAAGTAGCATGAGAGGTCTCAGCAGATTTAACATCCAGTAAGCCTGTCCCATTTTTGTATTAATAAGCTTCATAAAATTCAGCAATTGTTTTGAAACACAGCCTTTCTAGATATAGTACAAGTGCTTTAAAGGTTTAAGTAGCAAGAGAGGTCTCAGCAGATTTAACATCCCATAAGCCTGTCCCATTTTTGTATTAATAAGCTTCACAAAACATATTAATACAAAAATGGAACAGGCTTACGGGATGTTAAATCTGCGGAGACCTCTCTTGAACCACAACAGCCCGCTAAGCGTGAAGAACAAGCGGACACTTTACTTGGCACTTATAAGACCGTTACTGACATACGCCGCTCCGGCATGGAACGCGACGACTAAGACTAACTTACAGAAACTACAGACATTACAAAATAAGACACTAAG